TTATTGTTGTCGCAAAGGGGAACAGCCCCCTTTTTCCTTTTTTTTTTTTTTTTTTTTTTTTTAATGGTCAATTCTATAGCCACAATTTAGTTTAGGGTACTTTAAATTGTTATCTGAGTAAAAGTCCTATTGCAGGTACTTTCAGGTTGCTCGCTGCTACCGAGATGAAGGTTCACGGCCTGACAGGCAGCCTGAATTCACTCAGGTAACCAGCTCGCACTGCCTTTTACCCTCCTCCTCACCCCAAACAGCTTGTAGCTGTTTTGCTTTCTGATGGCTTAGTTTCTACTAGCTCTTGTGCTGCTTGGGGGGCACAGTGTTGTTTGCTGCATGTTTCACAGACACAGCCCTTTGAAGTTAGTATGGGACATGCACAGAGTGGTTACTGTCCTTGGATGACTGCACAGTCCTACTTGCAGTAGATGTGGGAATTGTGTCGCAGCAGTGATTGTACTTGATGATGCAATCTCCTCCTGTCCTGCTGGCTCGGGCATCCCATTCCTCAGCCTTGAGATCCCAGGCAGAGTTAGCCTGGTTCATTCAATGCTTCTTCTGTCCTTGTCATCATTACCTCATTCACGTTCTCTGAGGAGATAGTGTCCTGAGTCATCAGGCTGTAGGGAGATCGTAAGCACGCCCTCAGTCTAATGCAGTCGTGCTATGATTTAATGTAGTATATTGTTTCTTTTTATGCTGGCTTTATAGTCAAGAGCTTCTGCAAGTAGCAATGCAAAGGCAAAACCTGTAGCTAATGTGGAATCCCCCCTCTTATTTTCTATTTTAAGATAGATATAGAGATGTCATTTGTAGATCAAGCTGGGATCCAGAGATTGATAGAGGGCCTCCTGCAATATTCCTGGCCTGAGGAAAGAGGCTGCATTACGACTCCTTTCCCTTCCATGACATACAAGGAGGCACTGGCTGACTATGGGACTGATAAACCAGACACTCGTTTTGGGATGAAGGTGAGGGTTTGCCCATTGGAAACTTGCAGCTTCTCCTTTCTGTTAGTGTTTTAATAATGTTTGTTTGGATCATGTATACACGATTGGCTGGGGTTCTTAATGCTGTAATTTACCCAAGGTGTTTATCCCATCATCGCTGCTTTGTACAGGTAATCATCTCTTGGCTGTGGGAAAACATATGTTTTAAGAAAGCTTTATTTTAAAGATAAAGTAGTGTTAGGAAGCAATGCATCTTGGCTGCCTTAGGAACAGAAGCCCATAAGGCATCCACAGATACTGTAAGTGCTTTTGTTTACTGCACTCCAAAGCATACTCCTGGTGAGCATGCTTCATGACAGGCTTCTCCAGCCTTCTAATGGCCTGAAGATACTTTCAAGATAACTGGCAGCAGTTATGTGCATACATTGTTTGTATATGAAACAAGAGTACGAAAGTATGAAATAAGTATTGACAAAAGTATTAAGAGGAACAGTGCTAAAAAGCAAGAAAGCATCTTGTATTGTCCCAGGAATTAATTTTGGGGGTTTCTTTTTCAGTATGCAGCTCTTCCTACTGTGGTAGGATGTCACCATCTCAACCTTGGATTTTCCTGGCTCAAACACAATTTTGGGTTTTCCCAGCTGTCTTGCGTTTCTGTTTCTGCAGTGTTCAGCTTCCTAATGGTTATTCCAGCTTGGCCCCATTCACTTCTTTGTGAGCCATTTGATTTCACTGAATGAAGAAGTGATGTCCCAGGGAATGGTGTTGAAGGTGTTAAGACACAGGTGCAGGATTTTTGCTTCATGTTCCTACCACCACTGCTTTTTCCTGTGATCTTTCCTTTCTCAGATAGTGGATATCAGTGACTTTTTACAAAGATCGGACATTCAGTTTGTGCAGAATGCACTCAGTTACCCACACGGTACTGTCAAAGCCATTTGTATCCCTCAGGGAGTGGTAAGTGATGCTTTTACATACTGCTTGTGGTTTATGTGAAATAAATAAAATACCAATTTGAATTCCTTCGCTGGTATGGAAATGTTCGTTGCTATTACTGGGGGAGTAGTGCCCTTCAGGGAACTTGGGATTGGTTGTGATTGACGTCAGGTTGGGCTGAGTGGTGTTAGAAGAGGGGAATGGAGATGATCAGGTGACGGGAAGAATATATTGTCCTCAGGAAGGAGCGGAAGAACACAGAGCTGCAAGGTCCCTTGAAGATAGGGAAGCCTCTTGGAGCATCAGCTTGCTTTTGTCAAGGATGGCTTCTGATGTGCATCTCAATAATAAATTGTGCCCTGTGGCAAGAGATTGAAATAGAGCCAGGTATGGCGCAACTCTGTTCTGGACTAGTGAGAGAAAAGTCAGGTGGTTACAAGCCCTTCTCATGTTTGCTTTTGATGCGTTTGTGGGCACAACTCATGTCTTGTAGTGAGAATGTCACAGACCAAATCCAAGGCTGACAACAGATGTAGAAGATTGACACAGCTATTTATTTTGGCAGGCAAGCAGATATAATTCTGGCTGTGGTTATATTAGCAGCTTGGGCAGTATGGGGGGGAAAAAAAATCCACTAACCACCGAGTTTTATTTGGGGAATAGGACTTTCTGACCATGGTTTCTCTTGGGATTCCTTTAATTTTGGCACAAAACACAAGTTACTAACTTCCCACAAGAGGGCACTAAGGTGTGCGTTTGAGCAAAACAAAAGTGGAATCTTGAGCCTCTCTAAACATTAGAGTAGCTGAGAAAATAAAGATCTTGATGCAGGTCCTCATTTACTGCATTTCTTTGCATGTGAGAGTCAGCCCAATTGGTTCCCTCTGTTTCTCCAAATTGAGCTATGCCTTCCCCATCAACACTGTGGTGTTATAACCTTGTTCCTGCATGCTGGAGACAGTTAGTTGGCATAATCTCACTCTGCTGACCAGCTACATCTGATCTGTGAGCGGGGAGGAAAAACTGCAGCCAGATGTACAATCTAGAGGGGCCTCTTCCTGAAAGGAGCCCTTGGAGAAGACACCTAGCTGCAGCCTAGTGTCCTGTTCCACAGCCCTCATAAGAACTCACTGGAAACAAAAGAACTTGAGAAGTCTGGAAACAGCTTGGTCAGTAGATTTGAATCCTGGTCAGGCTTTCCATATATTTTGCTGATGTTTAATGTGTCTTCTCTTGCTCTTTCCCCAGAGATACCTTAAAAATAAAGATTTGGAGTCATTAAAGGAGTCTGCAAAATCCCAGTTTAACCAGGTGAGACAGAAACACTGCTGAGGCATTGGAAATGGTGAATGACAAGGTGTGTATAAAGGCACTTGCAGGCAGAGGAAGGTAGAAGAGTATTTTTTAATAGCTGAGAGTCAGTGCCTGAGCATGTGATGCTTCAAGACAAGAGAGGGCAGCACTGGACTGAACATACTCTTATCTTTCTCTAGGAAATCATGGAGATTATTTGCAAGCCTGATGGAAGCTTGAAGTCTCTGCTTACAAAGTTTCTTAGTGAGAAGCAGCAGTCAGAGCTTATCCAAGCGCTGAACATGCAGGTGGATGATGTGGTACTGCTGGCAGCTGGTGAACACAAGCAAGTGGTAGGAGGCATTTCTTGGGTGGCTGTGTGAGTTGAATGTTGCTGATGATGCCTTTGATGTTATCTGACCTTATTCTAATTCTTATTATTATTAAAATAGGTCATCATCTAATTCTATGTTTCTCTGGAGCTGAAGCTATAGCAACAGCAAATAATGCACGAAACGTACCTATTGCTTTTATTTCTTTCAGTCAAATTCTGTGAAGAACTTGTAACTGAAACAAAGGCTGGAATATAAAACAGGAACAAATCAGTGCCTCCTTTTTTCTCACCGTAATTTTTAAAGCATCAAACAGATAGGAAAACAAGGTCAACTAGGTAATTTCATCTCCCATAAGCAGATGATGAGAGTGAAGCACAGCTGCTTATTAGCAGCAGTGATGGGAGATTCTGTCCCTAACCCCTTCTGTGTTCTTGCCAGCAGACATTGCTTTCCAGGCGTTGGTTTATGACAAGGTGTCATGCTTTGCTTGATAGTCAAAATTTTCTGTGCCTTCATTTCTCTGTCTGCAAAGTGCAGATCTGGCCTGTTCTCCGCCAGTTAATCCATGTTTGTGTAGAGCTTGAGGTTAGTGTAGGAGAGTTCTGTGAGGATGGAACACTTGGAAGAAAATGAGCTTTCCAGCTCCTTACTCGTCTTTCTTTGTCAAACCCTGGAGCTGCTGCTGCTGCCTCAGCAGGAAGGTGATATCTTTTAGGAGACAAGGCAAAAGTGTTTAAGGCAACAATGCATTATAACTGATGCTGTCTGTGATACTACCTTTATGAAAAACTCTTTCCTTGGTTGGTGTTTGAGTGACTTCCCTGTTAGTAAAATTGCCCTGTCTCATTCTCTTCCTTCTCTGTTGCAGTGCTCTGCATTAGGAAGCCTACGGTTGGAGAGTGCTGACCTCCTTGAGGCGGCTGGGCTGGTACTCCGTGGTCCTACGACTTTTCACTTTCTGTGGGTGGTGGATTTTCCACTTTTTCTCCCCAAGGAAGAGAATCCCACTGAACTGGAATCTGCCCATCACCCTTTCACTGCTCCTCATCCTTCAGATACCAGCCTCCTCTATTCTGATCCCACAAAGGTAACTAACTTCATGCCTGTCATGCTGGCTCTTTTTCAGCTGTGTGTCCTGGAAAACTGGGCAAGTAGCATCTGTTTTTACTGTAAAAAAGGATGTTCTTTCATGGAACTGACGGCATATTGTACATATCTGTTTGGAAGAGATGGCTCCTGTGAGTGGAAAATATCCATGTGTGCTCCTGACAAAAGGGGCTTATAGGAAACAGTTGCTTAAGGGGAGGAGTCTTATGTTCTGACCCATCCCATGTTGCTTCAGGTTTTGATCAACTTTGCAAAAGCATTTATACTGTTCCTGCCACTGTCAGCAGGATACCTTTGATAGGACTCTGATAGCTGAACTGCAAGGTACCACTGAGAGAGTAGTGTTGTAGTGTGTCATGTCTTCGTTCCCAGTCTCTTTGCTGTCTGTGTGCAGGTTGGTGTTAAATGCAGCTGTGCCCCAGCCTTGCTAAGGTGCTTGTTCATTTCTTTCTGCAGGTCCGTAGCCAGCACTATGACCTTGTGCTGAACGGCAGTGAAGTTGGAGGTGGCTCCATCAGAATTCATAGCGCAGAACAGCAGCGTTTTGTGCTGGAGAAAGTGCTGAAGGTAACACCTATGGATGTTTCTAACATTCTCTTGGAGATTTAAAGGACTCATTAATTTAAATATCCATTTCAAATTCTGAAAGAAACACTCGTGTGCTTCTCCAGATAAAGAAATGTAACTCCCAGCCCTGAGTGATATATGACTTCATCATACCTTCATCTCACGTTGCTAGTAGGGAGAGTGTCGTTTGTCCAGTGACACTTCTTATGTAATTTTGCAGGAGGATTCTGAGGTGCTTTCCCATCTGCTTGAGGCTTTGGAGTTTGGAGCTCCACCTCATGGAGGAATCGCTTTAGGTGAGTGCTCTGTAGCTCTCCAGGATGCCGGTGTCTTGTGACTTTTTTTTTTGGTGTATTAGATCCCAGGAACAAGCCTCATGCTTGTTAGCAAAAGCCCTGTCTCCTCCTGACAAAGTGGGCTGTTTTGCTATTAGGCACCACCAACATGGTAACACTGTGTGGGTTTACACAGTGCTTCCATCTCTGTAGCTGCTTTGTAGAAGGAAACCAAGGTTTTGTCACCAAGCGCAGAATGTTTTGGTGTTCCTCCCCAGCATCATAGTGTGATTTAGTTCTTTTGCAAGGCCCAAATCACATGTTGGTGGCTCTAAAGATGATCCTTATGCGCTGCTCTACAAACAGTATATTTGTTAAGAGTAGGTCATCTTTATTCTCATTCCTGTGCAGCCAGAACAGGATCCCTGTGCTGCATACCCAGAGGCCTGGGACAGCATGGTACTTTGTTTCATGGCCCGGGTCACAGCCACAACCTTGCCCTCTGCTTCAGTCTCACTTCCCTTCTTCCTTATCTGTTTTGCTCACTAGTTCAGATAATGTCAAATATTTTTCCTAGAACCTTGCAAGTTTGTGGTTTTAAAAAGAAGAAAAAAACCAAAGCAAAACCCCCTGCCAAAACAAACAAACAAAAAACTTACAAAGAACAAAGGTAGCATTTTAACCTGCAGTCTTCCAGTGTGATTTCCCTCCATCCAGTCACCCAGAGGCTCTTGTTTTTGAATTCCTCCTAGTTGTAATCCTTCAGAACTGGTTGATAAAGAACTTTGTTTGAGCAGTTAAGCAGAGCCCTGACAGTGTTTGGGCCACTTAGCTGCCCTGGTTTTTTTATGCTGTCTTTGCAACGGCACTGCTTCTGTCTTGCAGTCCTTGGTGTGTTGCAGAACTTTCTGTAATACTGAAAAGCTTTATTTTGCTAGGCATTTCTGCTCTTCAGGCAAGTCTGTTTCTCTGCTACTGGTTGAGATTATTTTTTCCCCTTACTTGCTTCAGTTTTATTCTTCAAGCTCAGTAGTATTATCTTACTCCATCTTTCTGATTTTTCTGAATCGGAGGAAGTAAAATAGGACCATAACTCAAGTGGTTCACCAATTTCTTTTCTGCTTCTAGGACTTGACAGGCTGATCTCTCTCATTGTTGATGCTCCAAGTATCAGAGATGTCATTGCTTTTCCTAAATCCTTCAGAGGACGGGACCTGATGGGCAATGCTCCAGACTATGTCACTCCAGAAGAACTAGAGCCATATCACATCCAGGTTTCCTGGCCTCTTGCAGAAAAAGAGGCAAAGCAAAACTGACTTAAAGCCAGTGATGTAAGCTGATCTGTTTAACCAGAGGTGGTTACAGCTTCTAAATACTAGAATTCTGTTCAGAAAACCAACTGTTATGGGAGGGTGGAGGGCAGTGCAACCCCACTGCACCATGGCAGTTTCAGGACTGAATGGGAAATAGATACGAGGGCTCCCCGATAGGAATTCACCTTTAGGTTGTAATGGGAAAGAGAAGTAGAAGAGCAAAAGAAAAGAGCATAATTTTAACATAGGGTATTGAGAATGTTGGCTTTGGGATGTCATACCGGAGTGATGATGAGATGTAATTTTTTTCACTCCTCACTTTTTCCATGGCTCTTGTAAAGTATTTCTCCTCCCATCCAGAGGAGACAGTGTCAGCTTCCCTGGCAGATGGTCTGTATTCCTGATGATCCTTGAATCTGTTAGCTGAGGGCTGTGACAATACAGCAGTGCTGTGCTGGGCCAAGAGCTCTGGAGACTTCACAGCAAAACTTCAGTGCGACCAGCAGCTTATCTCATGCTGGAGGATACAAGATCGTCCAGAACTTGACACAGGGAGTTCATATTCAGCTGTGTTCTCTCTTCAAAGACTGGGAGGGAAGGGTTTATCATTTGCAACGGTTGTCCTCATAATACTTGTCAAACAGGAGGTGATCTGTCCTTGGGGCCTGTGGTCCTGCTGCTTTTCAGCACACTAATTCTGAAGTTTGTATGTTTGTAAATAAAATTTATCTGACAATGTGGTTTTGACTGAGCTTGGCTTTGGGCTTTCTCTACAAGAAGAAAGAGCCACCAGTTCTTTATGACCCCTGATCCCTTCAGGAGACAAGAAATCTGTGACAGCACAGCAGGGTTACCAATCTGCTGTGCATTTTGCCTAGTCCCGCAAACCTGCGGCTACAGTGGTGAGTGATGCAGCAGCAAGTTCCTTGCAAGTAACTGTCTCCATCCCGGTCCCGCACCAGAAGAGCCACAGCACAGGAGCGACTCTGTACTGAGTGGAGCGTGGGCTCTAGCAGCATCCTGCCAGACCAAGCCACTTGGCTCTGCTCTGTAGTGTACAGCAGGCCCTCTGCAGAGGCACTCCAGTAGGTGTTCTTAACTCTGTGTTTAGGTTGGAGAAAGCAGAGAATTGGTGGGAGGGAGGAAGGTGAAGAAACTGAGGAAAAGAGAAGCTAGGAAGATGGTGCAAAGGAAGAAAAGGGTAAGCTACTGTGTCCCATCTGGTAAGGACAGCGGGAGGCACCTGCCAGTGAAAGTGCATGAGGACAGAAGGAAGACTGCAGTTCTTGTCTGAGCTGATACTGAACTCCAGCCTTCTGCAGGAGATCCTATCCTGCAGGTTCTAACAGATTCGGGGCTGCTCCAAGGGTTATTGGCTATTCAGTCTCCACATTGTGGGATAACACGATGTGGTGGTGCACGCTGTTTGGTTTGGTTTTTTGTTGTGGTTTTTTTTTTTTTTTTTTTAAATACTGGACTGTCTTGTTGTTATGAAACAGTAAGGGAGGTAGCTCTTCTCCTTAAGGTTGGGTCTTTTTTTTTTTTTTTTTTGAGTACTTTATACAGGCTAAAAGTACCATCCATAGACAAGCAATAGTAGAGCTGACGTGCAGCTGCTTGGCAGATTATAAGATGATGGAGTTGTATGTAAGAGAAAACTTAAACCTTTTTTATGGTATGATTGTTATCATCAGTCTCAGAGCATGGTTAAATACTATTAAAAAAAAAAAGAAAACCAACACAATCCTGGATTTGTATTCATATTCATTCTAGCCAAACACTGTGAACACCTTAATTTTTTCCTTGTACGAGCTATTCATTCTTGTCTTGAAATTAATTCACCTTTGTTTCACCAGTTTTTTTTTCCTAAGTAGAAGCTGTCAGTAATGGGGCGAGGATCAGTTTTCAGAGAGAAGCTGAGCTGAAAATTGGATCCCTAAGCAGATCCATGTTAAAAACAATTTTTAAATTTTTTGTTGTTTTTGCGGGTAGGAGAGTCACCTTGTGAGATTGATACCAGATATTTTTGTTCCCTTAACTTGTAAGTGGCGATATGGAATGCAGCCACTACAAGGCTATGTATTCTTTTCAGACTGCCTTTTTAGAGTGTGCTGGATTTTGTTTAGTTTCTTTACTGCTAGCGAGATTAAGATTTGCATGGAATTTGCTTGAGGATCATCTGTGTTCCTAAAGCAGGGATCTCAGAGGTTTGTTTGAGGACATGGAATCACAGAAAATAAGTTATTCTGAAGAGTTCTTCACTCCCCCCAGACTATTATTTATAGTAACTGTAAACATAATCTGCTGAGCTCTTTTTTTTTTTTTTTTTTTCAATTGTGAAATAAGGAGTGCTGTATCATTTGGTTAGTAACTGCAAAGGCAAATGCTGTTTACATCTGAAGAGTCCCAGTTCTTTAAATTAGGATTATCATCAAGCGTTCAAAGGGTAACTGATGCCCTAACAGGCTTAGGCAGAAACGTAACACTGGAACGTTCTTCTTGAGAGCGCTTGTTAAAACATGTGAGCGAGCTCTCTCTGAGGCAAACACATCCCTCTTTCTTGTGCAAGCTGTTCTGCGCGATGTTTGTTTACCCACTGCTGTATTAAGGACTCACTGCAGTTATAAGTGTGTGACACAGCTACGATTAGTTACAGCGAAAAAAATGCAACAGAACGTGTTATCTGAGCTGCTGCGGTCCTGCCGCAATTAGGTCAGCAGAAAAGATGTATCCCAAATTTATGCAAGCCATCTATGCTTGGATTTGTGAATGAAGGTGGCTTACAATACAAGTGTGTGAATTTGCCAGTGGTTGTGTGAATGTTGCCACAGAGATGTTGATTGTTTTGTGTTTTATAGAGCGTTGCGTAAGGTTTCACTTGGGCTTGTGGAAGCCTGATCTACAGAAAGTCACTTTTAAACCACAATCTAGTTGGCATACTTGGCTGCCTATTTTGGTCGAAGCAAGAGTAGACAGACATTACAAAGAACTACGTGGGAATAAGGGGCGGTCATGTTGCAGACCAACATCTCGTGTCTGCTGGAGAAAAGCTGCTGGCCTGTGATCCTGAAAATAGATGTTAAAGCCACTACTTCAGTTCAGCGCAACGTCCATCAGAAAGACGTGCTGAAAATAAGCTACAGCACAACCACAAACTGCAAGCTTTCACAGAGCCCTTGTTGCTTCTACCCTCCTTTCTTTTTCCTGTACGAGACAAACTTATGGAGAAATGTTGCTATGTCAGCTATGCTAGAAAATGCAAAGTCCTGGACTCCTCTATTAAGAGTTAATCTTTAAGTAATCTTTCATTAGAGATGTGGTGCATAAGAAAAGATTGGTGAATCTGTACTGCTGTGTGCTTTGGGTTGGTTGGTTTGTTTTTTTTTTTCCCTTCCTCACACAGCACAAGTCTCCAGGCCCAAGCCAAACTAGCAGTGTAAATCTGCTCATCAACTTAATGAGAATCCAAAGTCTGTGAGGGTGCCTTTACACTGTTTCTTTTTGTCCAAAGAGCAAGCAGTAATACAATTAGTACATACAGACTCCTCCCTGTGTTGGAGGTACTAACGAGACTGTTGGCTGGTACCAGAAATGCCCCCGGCACACAGAACAGCCTCCCATGCTGCGGCATGCATGCGTGTAAAATTAGTAACAAAACCCATATCGTTACTATCTCCAGATTCCTGCACTGATTTCCATGTGCCCTCGTGACTCCTCTGCTCTTTCTTCAACCTCTTTTCAATGTGTCTGTGTGTGTATATGATGGACAGGACAGTGCTCTACCTGGAGCAGCTGGCTTTGTTGGAAATAGAATCACCAGCTGGACACAGGTGCTGCCTGAGGATTTGTTTTGGGTCTTTGCTGGTATGGATCAGCTTGTGATGGTTGAGTGTGTTCCCTGACGTGGTCTTCTCAGCTCCAGAGAACTTAATGACTAGCATACATGGGAGGTGAACATTAGGGTGGGCGATAGGATTGTACAAGGATTGCTCTTGCAGGAGCCAGAGTTGTATCTAAGGCCTCTGTACTCCTTTAACCCCACCAGCTGGCTGATTTTCTTCTGTTAGATCTGAACAAAACACTGGTCAAATGGAGAGACAGTGTATTCCCCACCTGTAGGGGAAGTGGCTCTGTGCGTGTTTCAATCGATTTCACTAGAACAACCCTCTAGTAAGTTTATACTGCCCTTTTGTAATACCAGAGATAAGTTTCTGGTATGTTTCGGTATTTTTTTTCAGGAATGTAGCACGCTGGTGGGATTCTCAGCAGCCAGAGGTTATTTGCTTTTTTTTTCTGAAAAGTTTCCAAGCCTATCCACAATATTTTAGGTTGGGCCAAGCTGGAGAGAGATTGCAGCATTTGATTTCGGCTACCCCAGATGGCAAGGGTTTCGTACAAACTGCCATAAAGACAGGAACTGTTTTCAGAACTCAAGCTGGAGTTTAATCCTATATTGTGCTGGTATCTATTTCTCTAGAGTTACCTAAATTACAACGTAACTTCACAGCAGCTTTGTGTAATCCCACGCTGCAGATACCCAGAGGGTCAGGGTGCTGATTAATTCCATGTTCTGTTGAAAACAGACCACTGCTATATGAAAGTATTATCATTTGTAACAAGTCAGCAGAAATTTTCAAGGAATGGTTTCAGCTGTTTGCAGCTGGATTTGTACCCACTGTTTTACCCCATAAGGAAAAGGGGGGAACTGCTGCTCTCTACCGTCACTCTCCTGTAGCCCAAGTCTGACAGGAAGATGTTTGTGTATACTTTTCTTCTGTCTTGAAGAGCACGGGGACCTTAGCTCGGACCTGGTGAAAGGACACTCAGTGTGGTGGAAGCCAGAGGACGTTACTTGGGTGTACAAAGCTACCCCTGGAGCTAGACTGTATGCTAGACCCGGTGCTGCTGCATGTGAGCAGGAGGCAGTGCTTCGTACATTCGTGCGGCGAATCTCCAGCCCCAGGAAGGCATGGCTCCGCTGCTCTGTACTTTACCGGCATCTCTCCCACTGGGACGAATGGAGCAGGTATAGGCATCAGGTGGTGCTACGCTGATGTCAAGCATCTGGTGAATACAGGCAGCCTCAGAAAAAGTCTTTAATGGTAAGAGCGGAAGGATAAGGAGAGCTTATGCTCTCAAAGGTAAGGGTTTCTATTTTTTCCCCTGCTTACTTTATACCTTTAGTTGCTTGCACAATGATTTGTTTTGACCGCACTTGCTTGCTGTTGTCAGTGTATGTAACCAGCCGTCTCATGAGGATGCTTGGTACGCTCTTTG